AGTTCTTCTCTGTCCTATAGGGGTCTCCATGAGTCAGAATAGACTTAATGTAGTGGGCTGGGTTTGGCTTCTGACTAATCTTTACGGGAGCAGAGTTTCTGGTGGATTAGAATCATCAACCCTTTGACAAGCAGTAGAGCATTTGAACATTCGCCCTCAGGACTCCTTACTTTGCATAGTCAGTATGTTTGTATGGTCTCCCTAGCGGATCCAGAGGCTACAGTGAAAGAGTCTCCCAGCAAGTGTAGTGGGTGCTTACACTCTGCTGGGATTGGAAGCATTTCCATGGAGTGAGGCAGGAACAGGGCGAGAGCTGAGTCTAATGGGGACACGGAGGAGTGAGAGAATGGAGGCAAGAACACTGAGGAGCTTTACAAAAGAGCACATGTAGTGGTGGGCACAAAAGGGGGTTGGGGACAGGAGATGTGGGTACAGACAGATCTGTGAATTGTAAGGTGTCTGAGGGTGACAGGTCTGGGCCCACAGAGGAGCTGGGATGCCTTTGGCACCCCCCTTCCCCGACTCCTTTGGCCCCAGGATGTGCTCAGCTACTAACCAAAAGGTTGAGGGTTCAAGTCCTCCCTGTGGCACTGTGAAGAAAGGATTAATTGGTGGTCAGCTTACAGCTAAGAAAACTCCATTTAGTAGTTCTACACTAACACACATGGGGCTGACATGAGTCAGAACCAATTAGACAGCAGTGGGGTTGGGTTTTTACTTCCCGTTGATCAGACAGGGCAGTTGTTGTTGTTGTTGTTAAGTGCCGTCGAGTCAGTTACGACCCATAGCGACCCTGTATAGGGTTTCCAAGGAGCAGCTGGTGAGCTTGAACTGCCGACCTTTCAGTTCAAACTGCTTTGCAGTCTGGCGCATTAACCCACAGCGCCACACCAGTAGAGACCCCCAAAAGAAGCTGCCTAGGTCCTGGTGGTTCTGGATGAATTCTCCTCTCCCATGGGCCTCCCCATCCCAGTGACCCGCCTGTGTTGTGAAGGACTCTCCAGGATTAGGGGCGGAGTTGTCCCTGACAGATCTGGGACCATGTTGGGGTGCCTTTAGCCCGAGCATTCCAAAGTCAGACCCAGGTCGCCAGCAGGAGGTTCCTTGGAGTCAAGGCTGCTGGAAGGTCCCACCCAGCCAGCGGGTTGTGTCTTTGGGACCAGCTGCTCAGACAGTCCCAGTACTTAGAGGAACTTCCCTGAGATGCTGGAGCTAGTGAGCTGGGGGAGACACCCTCTTCTCTGCAAGGCCAGCCTGGGGGGCTTACTGGCAGCTGCCTTCTTTCTCCTGGGTGGCTATGGATCTGCCGCTGGGCAGCAGGTGGGTGAGTTTTTGGGGAATAGCAGAGTGGGAGAGCCCGGGGCTGGGAGGCCCAGCTCTCAGAGTGCAAGGTGGGTCACCTGCAGGCGTGAGAGTGGGTGTGTCCCTTCAGCTGACCTTCCGGTGGGTGTCAGTTCTGTCAGTGGGCCAGGCCAAAGGCTGACGCGTCTGTCCTAAATCCCAGTAGTTCGCTCTGCCTCCCGTCTTCTTTGTCTGTCCGGATGCCCCCTTCTTGTCCTTACCTCCTCCTTCCCTGTCTCTGCTCCTCCTCATCTGTCTCCTGCTGTTTTGCAGAGGTTTTTTCAAGCTCTGGAGCCAGAGGAGGAGGTGGTCTGGTACTTTGGTCTGGGTTCGACTCTAAAAGGTAATTCACTGATTTTTTTTGATTTTTAATTTTATTAGAAAGGGAGTGCTCCAGGCCTGGGGTCCGAGCTTGTGACTTCTCATTGGGTCTGGAATTTTCCGTGTGTCCTGGGCCAGAATCCAAGGACCTGGTGGGACCCCTGTTAATTAAGTCAGTTAGTTCCTGTCAAGCTGATAAAGGCTGTGCTAGCTAGTGTCTTGAGGGAGCTAGGGTTCTGCCTCCAACGTCTGTGAACTCTATCAAGGGAGTGTTGCTAGTTAGCTGACCCCTCCATCCCTGGACTTCGTTGGCCTGACTGGTTTTTCAGTTCCTGATGTAAATATTTATTCTTTCTCTGGGAAACTAGATGGGAGTGAGGTCATCTCCCAACCCCTGGCTCTGGATTTCCTGTGACCAAGGCCTTCTCCCCCACCGCTTCTAGGTTTGCTCGGAGTGTTCTGGGTACAGGCTTCCTTCCGGGTGCAGGGCCATTGGGGATGTGGGGCCAGAGGTAGGGCAGAAGAGCAGTCAGCATAGAGAGAATGAGAGGACACCCCACTGAGCTCCCTGCACTCTGGGGCAGATGCACACTCAGAGCCTCAACCAGCTGGAGGTGTGGGAGCTGGGGATTTGTCTGCACTCACCACTATTAGCCTTGCTCTGTTCCTACAGCTTAAGGGACCCCAGATCCTCCCCAACCCAGTTACTATAGGGCTAGGGGACCCCTGATTCTCCCCAACACTGTTACTACAAGGCTTGGTGGCCCCTGGCCCACCCCAACACTGTTACTACTGGGCTAGGCGGCCCCTGATGGGGGCTGGGAGTTGGAGGAAGAAGCACTGTGTGGACCAGGCCAGGCTCCTTATCTCCACACAAACCCAAGAGGCTCCCAGTATTCATTCTCTGTATGGAGTTCAGGAAATCACCTGTCACAGAGTTTAAAAGCGGAAAAGCAGTTTGCAGACACTGATGCAGTCTTGGCAGCCAAAGCCAGGAAACTACAACTTGTTGTCCATTCCCCTTGGGCAGGGAGGGCTGGAGGAGAACTCAGGCCTGGCTCCAAGCCAGAGAAAAGAGCTTGGTTCCCAGCCCCTTGGGTAGGAAGGTCCCAGTGGGACCTCCTTGCTGTGACCCAGCTCACCTTCATCTGCAAGGGCTGGGGTGGGGGTGAGGGTCTCCCTGGGTCTGTGTGTCCACTGTCTTGCAGGAGTGTCAGCAGGTCATCTACTGGTGGATGGAGTGTGGGCACACCAAAGAAGGGGTGTGCTGATGGGATTGGTTGTGTAAAAGTCTCTTCCTTGGATGTGATGTTACACTTGGACTTTAGGGGCTCGTTTCAAACCCCAAGAGGGGTGTGTTCCAGGGAAGGAAGTGGTACTCAGGGAGTTTCCAGGGTGACCTAGTTACCGAACACCTGAGCCAGGTACAAACCTTGATCAGGGATTCCCCAGGAAACCGGGACCTAAAAAGAACTTGAGATTGGAGTCAGCTTGTTGGATTCAAATCCCCATCACCATTAGGACAGGCTAGCCTTGTCCCAATGGGAGCGCTTGCCTCCTGGTCTGTGGTGAGAACCGCATGTCCCCAGGAATCGGAGCTCACAGAAGTGGTTTTACCATTGTCCACATTGCTGCCCTGGGGAGGCACAGCCTGGCTGGACACATGTCCTCTGAGGTCTGTCTGCTCACTAACCCAGGTCTAGCCAATTCCTCAAAGACATCTCTGTTTCTGTGCACCCGGAGTCCCTGCAGGTGTGATAGCAGTGAAAATGTGGGTCCCTGTCTGGCTTGTGAACCTGGACTTGGGAACAAGTGGGAGGAGGCTTAGGGGGGACTGGACTGTGTGCACGGGAGATGACATCGTGCTGAGTGACCACCTGTGTGTAGCAAGTGAGAAGGGAGTACTCCCCAGCATCACCCCCAGCAGCCGTGGCAGGTCCAAGGTACACCTGTATATGGAGGTTGGCAGGAGGCCCCATTCCCCAGGGTGCACGGGGATGCCTGGGGTCCTCATACTGAGTCCCACTTGGCGGGTAGGTTGCCATCCACAGACTACAAACCCTTGTTGTTAAGTGCTTTTGAAGAACAGCTAGTGGGTTTGAACATCCAACCTTGTGGTTAGTAGTACAGAACCTCAGAATCTGAGGTTGGTGGAGCAGCTGCCATGGGAAGCCTTCTCCAGGGCTGTAGGAGGTGCTCGGCCATGTTACCTGTGGTGCCAGGGTGGGGTGACATGGGCTGTACTTGCCATCTTGGGGTAACCCTCTCTAGAGGGGATCTAGGAGGCAGAGGTTCAGGACAAACAACACAATCGTTATAATAGCTTCTCTCAGCCCCTTGCTGCCCCCCAAGTGTCCCATCACAGTGGGATCTGGGCCTAGGGGTGGGAGAAGTGAACTATTTTGACTTCAGATGGCCTTCCTTCTTCACCCCACCACCATCTGACAGCCCCCAATTAAAGTGACATCGAGAGCCCAAGTCTCCCGCCCCCTCAATCACACTTACTCCTGAGGAGCGTGGGGACCAGAATGCTCCTAATTGGTGCTGTCCATGAATGTCTGGGAGAGAGGAGCCGGAAGGGAGGGCCGTGGGGTGGGGGCATGTGAAGGGGTCTCGGACCCTCTGATCAAGATTTTCTTGAGCTCAAAGCCATCTCGTTCCGCGCTAGTGCAGCACACCATCACACTTGGGGGCACTTCAGACAACAGAGACTTCACTACTTCATAGTCCTGGGGGGCTGAAGTCGGAAAGCAAGGTGTCAGTCAGTAGGACCACAGTCCCTCAGGGGTTCTGGGGAGCATGTGCTCTGTGCCTTGACTCGTAGCTGCATCGCTCCAGTCTCTGTCTTCATTGTAACAAGGCTTTCTCCCGTCTCGGAGTCTCTCTTTCATAGGATATGACACTGTTCCATTAAGGAGCCTGCTGGTGCAGTGCGCTAAGCGTTGTGCTGCTAACTGCAAGGTCAGCAGTTCAAACTCTCCAGCCGCTCTGTGGGAGAAAAAGGAGCTTGGCTGCTTGCATGAAGATGGACTGTCTGGGAAACCCTAAGGAGCAGTTTTCTTGTGTTCTTTAGGGTCATTATGAATCTGAATTTACTCAGTGTTAGTGGGTTGTGGGTCCTATTTGATCAGGGCCTGACCTCGTGCGAACTTAACTTAGACCCTGTTTCCAAACAAGATCACTCTGGTACCAGGGGTTAAGAGTCCCAAGCATCATTTTGGAGAAGGAACACAGTTGAACTCCTATAAACGGTGAGAAGTCTGTCCATTCCCTGTGAGAATGTTGAGGAACAGGTCAGCCGACTCCCTAAGCCCCACGGAGATAAGCACAGAGTTAGGATGTGCGCTCGGCATGTCTCCATCCAGGCCAGGAGCACAAGGTGAGAGGGGTCAGCCATGAAGCCCAGGCTTCTACCCTGCTTTTCCCAGGTCAGCCTCCCTCCCATCGTCTCCCAAGACGGGCGCGGTCAGCGGGGACCATTCTGCACCTAGAACTGCTGGTGGTGGTGGGCCCCGACGTCCACCAAGTCCACCAGGAAGACACAGAACGCTACGTGCTCACTAACCTCAACATCGTGAGTGCCTGAGGGGAGGGCTCAGGGCAGGCTGATCTGAGTTGGGGGATGCGTCAGACTCAGGCCTCCAGGGGCAGTGGTGGATAGTCGTGGGCGCGGGGGACTAAGTCCCACCTCTGGGCACAGTGCTTCACATCAGCCAGTCACTTTATCCTGTGGGCTGACCTGGGTAGGGTGAATGTATGAACCTGAGGTTCGGGTCCAGCTGGCGCTCAGGACCCCTGAAACAGGAGAGAAATGGTTTGCCCCTCCTCCTCTCCTCCTCCTATGGCGTGAGGTCCGGGACCCCCTTTCAGCTCCCTAGTTCCACCACAGCCTCTTGTCATTTGGGTTTCTTTGTCCCCCAGACTGTTCTCTTTACAAGGTGGTTTGATTCCTAGGACGCTGGGATGCAGCTGCCCACAACTCCCAGCTTCATCTTCTCTCCAGTTCTCTTGTCTTTGCACCGCTGCTCCTCCAGTGGGAAGCTCTAGAGACACCCTGCTTTCTTGCAGGCATCCCTTACTCAGCCTTTAGGGGCAAAGGGGGTCCAGGACACAGACTCCCACTAACTGGAAAATCAAAGCAAATCAGTAAAGGAATAGGTGATTTTACAACCACACTATTGAGTATAACTGAATGGTCTTATGAAACCTTGTGCCCAGTGGCAGGAGAACACATGTGTGGGGCACTTACAAAGGTGCTGGGCTCTCAGGGAAATTTCCAGAAACTCCAAGGGAGCCAAGTCACAGAGATGGTGTTCACCAACCACAGTGCAGCAAAGTTAGACATAAGAAGAAGCTTACAGAAATCATCCACAGACAGAAGCATAAATTCTGAATGAGTAGAAATGAAATCTAGGGAGCACGCAGGAGATTTGAATCTTGGCTGGTGACTGACAACCCCGGTTCCCCCAACCACAATCTTATCCAGAGATGGGGCAGGGCCAGGTGAGGTGCTGGAGGAAGTGGCCTAGGGTGGAATGGGTTCCAGCAGTGAGCAGGTCTCCAGAGTAGGGGCCTTTAGTACCATTTTGTCCATCATCTTAGGACAAAGGAAGATTCTCTCTTCATCTACCTGACTTAGGGCCACCTCACTGTTCCCAAGGGTTCTCTGTACCTCCCATGCATCAGGGGTCTAGGTCCTGGCTACCCACTGTGGTCCCTCCCTGCTTATAAACTTGGTCCAAGTCTAGAGTAAATCAGCTTAGGGTTTTAGTCCACAAGTCCTACAAGATATTGTCTTTGTTTAGTGAAAATATTGTTTCAAGCTTTGGGGACTCCTCCCCTGATTTGTTCTGAATCCAGTAATCAAGCCATGCCCCCCCCCCCCCCCCAGGGCTGTTCAGCGTGTTTGGGGAGGACAAGTTCTCAGTGGTGGAACCCTACCCAGCCCATATGGAATCAGTGGTAGGAAAAGTCACTTTTAGCACTCAAGGGCCACTCATGCCAGGCGCATTATAGTCCAACAATATGGGAGATTTTCTTCCTACCTCACAGAGGAGGAAACTGAGGCTCAGGCGTTAATTAACAGACTCTGAACATATAGCAGCAAAGCTTGGCTTCAAACTCAGGTCAGTGGAGGCCAGGGATGAGCCACGCTCTCTTGGGCACAGACACTGTCTAATCTAGAGGATAAACTGGCACAACCAACACTGCATTGTGACTGGAATCCAGACAGATGTACCGTGTGAGCCAGAGCAGGGACGAGCCTCCCTCATCAGGTGGCCCCAGGGCCCTGGGGTTAAAGCAGTAGAAATGGTGGCAAAGGTGTCTCAGATAGAGGGACAAAGCTAAGGAAAAGGGTGACAAAAAGGTGAATCAGCCACTGAATGGAACATTCTGGACTGCTGACCATTCCACGTGATCTCCTAATGCCGTTTCCAAGTTTCTTCTCTTCCTGCCTGTTTGTCTGCCTTCCCGATCTCTGGGCATGTCTGACTCTTATTGCCAGCTCCCTTCTGGGGACTCACATTCTGGGGGTCCTACTCACTCTCCAGGCACACCTCCTCCCCTCTTTGTCCCTGGAGGTCACCTCTCTGTGTCTGTCTTTCCTCAGGGGTCAGAACTCCTGAGGGACCCATCCCTGGGGGCTCAGCTCCAAGTACACCTGGTGAAGATGATCGTCCTAACAGAGCCTAAGGTAGGCTCCGAGTTGAGTTTTGGTACTACATCAGGTTTGAAGTCCAGAGTCATGGGAAGTCCATGTTATTCCTCTCTGCTTCCTGTGGGTGGCAGTGTGGAAACTACAATTCCCAAATCTGTAGGTCAGGCAGCAAGCAGGCTGGAGACTTCTTTTGGCTCTCGTCCAGAGATCCATAGGCCAGGTGATAAAAAGAGTGAAAAATTCACAGAGGGACTGGGTTCTGACAAAATATCTATTGAGAGTCCAGAGGCAGTCCACATCCTAAGGAAATACCCCTTTCCACAGTCTGAGTGATCACAATTCAATCCAGAAATTTGTTTACATCAGATTATATTAGTTTATGTTATGGAAGAGGTTTACGTTGAGTTAAGGACCCCAGGCGGTGCTGTAAAATAAGCACTGGACTGCTAACTGCAAAGTCGGCAGTTCAAGCCCACCAGCCACCCCAAGAGAGAAAGATGAGGCTTTCTGCTCCTGTAAAGATTTACAGCCTTGAAACCCTCTACAGGGTCGCTATGAGTTGGAATTCACTTGTCAGCAGTGGGTTTGGTTTTGGTACATTACACGGTGTTAGATTACCTTTTGGAAGCTGCTCACATCACATTGCATTACATTATATTATGGAACAGCAGCCAATACTAGTATCTAGGTAGACACATAAAATTAACCCTTACAGCAGGACTGGTCTGACAGGCCTGGACTGAACTTGAGGGGGCCCAGCCCTTGGCACAGGCTTACCTCTCCCCAGCTTCCTCTCTTCCTCTGTAGCCTGGGATGGTAACAGGGTCATGATGTGTTAGTTCTCTACTGGATTCTTCTTTTACTGAAGCTTCCCACTGTTCCCAGGATGCTCCGAACATCACAGCCAACATCACCTCCTCATTGTTGAATGTCTGTGACTGGAGCAGGTCCATCAACCCCACGGATGACTCGGACCCCGGTCATGCCGATCTGGTCCTCTACATCACCAGGTAGCTGGGCTCCACACGCTGTGCCACCAAGGGCAGGAAAGACCCTTAGCGCACCCACATGTCTCTTCTCTCTCTTCAAGGTTCGACCTGGAGTTGCCAAATGGGGACCGTCAGGTTCGGGGGGTCACCCAACTTGGGGGTGTCTGCTCCTCCACCTGGAGCTGTCTCATTACCGAGGACACTGGCTTTGACCTGGGGGTCACTATCGCCCATGAGATAGGGCACAGGTACTACGCCCCACACACTCTCCCCAAACTCTAGCCAAGGAGCTGACCCTGGTCCCCACATTGTGAGGTCATGTCTGGACCCTGGTAGAACCTGCTGGAAGGAGCCGGGGCCCTTAACTCCAAAGGGATAGGAAGGGCTGGGAGGGCCAGAGGAAATGGACATTTGCTGATTACAAAGTGATTCAAAAGACTTTATTTCTTAAAAAACAAAACAAAACACAAAATGAGAAAAACAAACTTAGCAATTAGAAATTTTATAGGAAATTCAGAGAAAGAAAAAGCAGGGAAAAATTTCTCCTATATCCCACCATTTAAAATTCTGTCTACACTTAAAATTTAAAGTCAGGGGCTCTCAAAAGAATGATGTGACTGTCGGCTCTGTCTGTCCTTCTTCAGGGATCAGAACTCATGAGGGACCCATCCCTGGGGGCTCAGCAAACACAACAGCTTCAGAAACCCTATGGGACAGTTCCACCCTGGACTATAGGGTCTCCATGAGTTGGAAAGCTACTTGATGGTTAGATTTAAGGTTATGCGAGCTGTCATTACCTTCCCAGCCTCTCAAAGCCCCTCCAGCTCAGCCCAACCCCTCAACACAAGGATTGGTTGGGCCTGCACATTTTAAAGACTTTTGATCCGAATATTTGCTAGACATAGGATCTAGGAACCTTCCTGCTGGCCCTCTATCCGGGCGGGAAACCGTGGCGGAGCTCCTGCGCCCGGATCCTGCGCCCCGGGAGGGGTCCTCATCATGCCCTGTCCACAGTCTCGGCCTGGAGCACGACCGCGCGCCAGACAGTGGCTGTGGGGCCAGTGGCCACGTGATGGCGGCGGATGGTGTAGCGGCGGTCCGTGTGGGCGCCCCCTGGTCCACCTGTAGTCGCCGGCAGCTGGTGCAACTGCTCAGGTAGCGGGCAGAGCTGTCCATCCACCATCCCATTCTCCCCTGCCGCCTGGGTCCAGCCGCTGGTCCCCATGCCTACATCCTCTCCATCCCACTGTGCCCACCCCTCCATCTTCCCAGTCCACCCCCACACCTGTCATCCTTCTGCACACGTCGCCGCACCCACTCCCCCATTCTCCTGTCCCTCTCCACAAGCACCCCTCCATCCCACCCGAACCCACCCCAGAAGGGCGATTGCACATTTTCCAGCCCCGCGGGTTTCCATCCTCAACGTGGGGACGGACGATCACGCTGTGGGCAACCCATCCTCGCCCCAACTCCCTCCGCCACCCCACCTACCCCTCTAGCACCCCGCCTTCTGCCATGTCCACCTCTTCCCATTAACGCCTGTCTGCATGCACCTCTGCGCCCACCCTCTGTTCCAACCCCACCACCCCGGGGCCTGAATCCCGGCGGTGTTGCAGCGCAGGACGGGCGCGCTGCCTGTGGGACCCGCCACCCCCACAGCCCGAGACCCCAGGACGTCCGCCCGACGTGCAGCCTGGTCTTTACTACAGTGCCGACGAGCAGTGCCAAGTGGCCTTCGGGCGCACTGCTGTGGCCTGCACCTTCTCCAGGGAGCAAGTGGTGAGTCCTCTGGCTGGCATAGCGCACAACGCAGACACTTTTCCGGAGTAAGCAGTGACTCTAATCTGATGGCGGAAGTAGGCCTGTAGGAGGGAGCCCTGTGAGGCTTCTGGGGGATGTGGTTAGTCTCCAAGCTGAATCCTACAGTGGGAATGTGAGTTGGCAGGGTAGGGGAGAGGACGGGGTACCCCAAAGACAGGCTTCCTCCCAGGGCTGCCTATGAATTTCACAGGCCCGTTTCTGCTATGGAAAAACATTACAATTGTATTTTCTTATTTGTATGTTCAGTGGAATAAATACAAATTTTAATAATAAATAGTAGAACGTTGGGTGCTGGTGTGGTGCTGTGGGTTAAATGCGCTGGACTGCAAAGTTAGTTAGAACCACAAGGTCGGTGATTGAAGCGCTCCAGTGACGCCTTGAAAACTCTATTCAGGGCCACTATGGGTGGTAACCGATTCCACAGCACTTAAAAATAACAGGAGGGCATTTTCTTGGAGTCCTGGTGTGGTGCTACAGCATAAGCACTGGACCATAAGGTCAATTTGAACAGCAAAGTAGTGGTTCAAACCCACCAGCCACTCCTCAGAGACCCTGTATAGGTTCAGATGAGTCTGAACCGGCCTGATGACACTTAACAACAACAGGACATTTTCTTGGACCCAAAAGTTCATTTTTTACTTCTGACTTAAATGAATACATTATCACAGACCCAGAAGAGTATGTGTCCTGAGTCCCCTCCTCCCCAGTTCCTAGTAACCATGGAGCTGTGGATGGCTGTGTCAGGGTGTCCCCTGGTCTGGGAGGGACAGTTAAAGCATTTTGAACAGGTGACCCCGTCTCCCTTTAGGATGTGTGCCAGGCGCTTTCCTGCCACACAAACCCCCTGGACCACAGTAGCTGTACCCGACTCCTTGTCCCCCTGCTGGATGGGACGGAATGCAGCTTGAACAAGGTTAGAAGCTGGGAGTGAGTGAATGTGTGTATCGGTGTATGTGTGTATGTGTGTGTGCATGTGTGTATGCATGCACAGGGCACCTCCAACCTGGTGGTCCTCATTCCTGGGGAGAGGCAGGAGTGGTCATGGGGCAGGGAGTCCAGAATTGCCTGTTCCATCTAGTCACCACCCAGTTGTGAGATGGGCAGATAACAATCTGGGGATATGTGACCAGCCCTGCCATTGATTTCATTACTCATTATTATTAATAATTAGAAAATTGTTGCTGATATCAGATGGATCTTGGTTGAAAACAGTTGTTGTTGTTGTTGTTGTCAGGTGCCATTGAGTCGGAACCGACTCATAGTGACCCCATGCACAGCAGAACGAAACAATGTCCGATCCTGGGCCAACCTCACTACTGCTACCACACTTGAGTCCATCAATGATGCCACCTGGCTAATCCATCTCGTGGGGGTCTTCCTCTTTTTCTCTGACCCTCCACCTTACCCAGCATGACATCCTTCGCCAGTGACTGTTCCCTCCGGACAATATGTCCAAAATATGAGACACGAAGCTTAGCCATCTTGGCTTCCAAGGAGCACTCTGGCTGCACTTCTTCCAAAACAGATCTGTTGGTTCTTTTGGCAGTCCATGGCACTTTCAGTATTCTCCTCCAACACTACAACTCAAAGGCATCAATTCTTCTATGATCCTCCTTATTCACGGTCCAGCTTTCGCATCCATATGAGGTTATTGAAAATACCATGGCCTGGGTCAGGTGTACCTTAGTCCTCAAGCTGACATCTCTGCTCTTCAATAAAAAGTTCCTGTGCAGCAGATTTGCCTAATGCAATACGTCGTCTGATCTCTTGACTGCTGCTTCCGTGAGTGTTGATAGTTGATCCAAGAAGAGAATATGCTAAAGATGTTTACCTGTATTTTTGTTGTATTCATTATGCAATGGCGTTTGACAGTGTGGGTACTAACAGATGATGGGTAACATTGTGAAGAATGTGAATTCCAGAACACTTAATAGTGCCCATGGGGAACCTGTACACTAATGGCCAGGCCCCCAAGACCTCACTCCCCACAGGGACTAGATGGTTTTTCTGGGTTACTAGAGAACTGCTCTGAGTTCTGATATGGCACTGTAGGATAAGCACTGGGGACTGCTCACGGCAGGGTCAGTGGTTCGAATCTACCAGCTGCTCCTCAGAAACCCTATACAGGGTCACTATGAGTCAAACCGACTCGCCACTTATCAGCAACAAGTGGCCTCTTGTGTGACACCTCAGGGAGAGTGGGGGCGTTAAACCCCATCTCAGGAAACAGCGCCCCCTACTCCTGACAAATGACGTAGGGCCTGTGGCGGCTAAGGGAGCTCCGGTGGCCGTGTTGCTAGAGGGTGCCTATGTGAGCGCATGCGTACGTGTGCGCGTGTGTGTCTAAGCATGTTTGTGCTGCCCGCACCCCTCAGCCCACGTAGCTCTGCACAGTGTCCCGGACTGCTGGAGTTGGAGGGCACGCAGCATGGTGGGTGGTGTTGGGGGCTGTGGGTGCCAAGCTGAGGGGCTGCTGTGTTTTGCAGTGGTGCTTCGGGGGGCGCTGTCGCTCGCTGGTTGAGCTGCCCCCTGTGTCTGCGGTGCACGGGCACTGGTCCAGCTGGGGGCGCCCCAGTCCTTGCTCCCGCTCCTGCGGAGGAGGCGTGGTCACCAGGAAGCGGATGTGTAACAATCCCAGGTATTGGTAGGGTGTATTGAGGGAGGGTGGCACCCCCAGATTCCTCTGTTTGGTGTCAGGGGTCCCTCTCATCCCTCATGGGCATTTTCAGACCTGCCTTTGGGGGGCGTGAGTGCACAGGTGTTGACCTCCAAGCTGAGCTGTGCAACACTCAGGTAGGTCTGCTTCCATGGTTGGGGTGGCTTAGACCTAGAAGGGTTGAGAACTGGGAGATTCTAACTTATGGGTCACACCTGACTCTTTTGAGGGAAGGGGGTGCTGTTAATACCAACTTTGGGACCACAACGCACAAACTGGATAGCCCTCAGCACCCCAGCTCCCTTAAGCTGCTGCCAGCTCCCCAATATTGCAGCTTTTCCCTATACTGATGCCCACCTCTGCCATCCCATGTCTCCCCAATACTGCTGGCAGCACCCCAACATCCCACTCCCCCCATGCTGCTTTCAACCCCCTGGGCGCTCTGGGGGCACCCCTAGTAAGAAGCTCACCCCCACACCCTCCTCCAGGACCCTCCACCACTGTGGTCCCAGCCACGAAGGACACCTTTTATGTAGAGCTCAAATCTGCACATTACCCACTCCCACCATCTGGGACTGCTCTCACTGAAACCCCACCCTGCTTCATTAGCATAATCCTAACAGACCCACTTTCTAAGCACTGGGCTGAGAACCATAAGGTCCGCGGTTCAAGCCCTCCAGCTGCTCCTGGTGAAAAAGATGAAGCTTTCTGCTCCCGCAAAGATTTGAAAAGCTTCAGAAACCTGATACAGGGTCACTGTGAGTCACAACTGACTCAAAGCATCAACAACAACACCAGTGGGCTTAGAACCACAGCAGTGTGGTTGTGTTCATGTTTATGAGGCAAACAGCCTCATCTTTCTCCTGTGGAATGACTGGTAAATTTGAACTGCTGGCCTTGAATCACCAGTGCTTCTAACCATGCGAGCTGTTGTTGTTGTTAGGTGCACTCCAGTTGGTTCCGACTCAGCAACCCTGTGTAGGGTTTCTGAGGAGCGGCTGGAGAGTTTGAACCGCTAACCTTGTAGTTCGAGTGTTTATCCTACAGCGCCATGCTAGCATTTATTCTACAGCGCAACATCATGGGAACAGGGGTTAGGATTTATAACACGTATTTGTAAGGGACACAATTCACTCCACAACATCCCCCTTACTCCCTTGGCTTGGCTCTGGGCTGGCCGCCCTGGCCCTTGACCCCCTCGGCACCCTGACACCTCCTCTTCTCCTGGCCTAACATCTGGGCACCTGGGAGCCGACCCTTCTCCAGATTAGAGGGGATTGGGATAAGGGAAGGAAGAAGTGTGTGTGTGTGTGTGGGGGGGGGCTGGTCCGGTGTCTCTGCTCAGATTCTTCTCTGAGATCCTAGCAAAAGAAAGCAAGTTTCCTCCCCCCCCCCCACTGTGCTTGTTCTCTGTACCCTTCTCTGTGGCCCTGCCCTGTGCCCCCACCCCTGTCACCTTGCAGGCCTGCAGGACTAGCCAGCTGGAGTTCATGTCTGAACAATGTGCCCAAACCAATGGGCAGCCGCTGCTCCTCCCCAAAGGCAACACCTCCTTCTACCGCTGGAGCTCAGCCGTGCAGTTCAGCCGAGGTGGGTCTGGAACTGGCAGCCGGACCAGAGACCTGAGGTGTGGAGGGCAGTTGGGGGTCTGAGCCAATATCTCTAATGCTGACATATGGGGCAGCTCAGAGACAGATTCTGGATCAAATTCTGGCTCTGCCTTTTGCTACCAAGTATTTCTCATCTCTGAGTCTTATTTTTCTTATCTGCAGAATGGGGACAATAGCAGTATCTAAGGGCTGTTAGACCACCACTCATCTGTCAGTTTGTCGTACTGTGGTGGCTTGTGTGTTGCTGTGATGCTGGGAGCTATTCCACGGGTATTTTAAATACCAGCAAGGTCACCCTGCTTTCAGCTGAGCTTCCAGACTAGGAAGAAGAAGAGGTGGAGCACTTTTGAATGTTTAGGCACTGAAAACCTTATGAACAGCAGTGGAACATTGTCAGATACGGTGCTAGAAAATAACATTATAATAGTAGCAGAGCATTGTCGTATTGGAAGATGAAATTCCTTCAGGTTGAAAGGCACTCAAAACACAGACTAGTACTGAGCAAGAGTGGTATTCTTCACATGTTGACAGGCCATGAATCAAAATGTGAAGCATCATTGCAAGCATTTATTAATCATTGGAACACAGAATGTATAATATATGAATTCAGGAAAACCGGAAGTCATCAAAATGAACTGGAACACATCAAAATCGATACCTAGCATTGGTGAGCTGAAATGGACTATTATTGGCCATTTTGAAACTGGCTTATGGTTTTATGTTGTTGTTAAGTGCCGTCGAGTTGGTTCCAACTCATAGTTGGAACTTTTTGGTTCAAACCTATCTTGCAGCCCAGTGCCTTATCCTGCAGCTCCACACCAGGACTCCAGTTTGCTATGTTGGGAGTGTCAAATTCAAGAGGAATGGCGTTGCATTCACTGTCAGAAAAGAGCGTTTCAAATGTATCTTGAAGTACACTCCATAATAGGGTAGCATCCATACTTCTTTCTACAAGAAGAGCAGGTCGTATCACTATTATTCAAATTTACACACCAACCACTAAAGTCAGTGATGAAACCAAAGAATTTCTAGAGTCCTGGTGTGGCGCTTTAGGATAAGCACTGGATTGCTAACCACAAGGTTGGTGGTTCAAACCCATCAGCTGCTCCTCAGAAACCCTATATAGGGTCGCTATGAGTCAGAACCAACTCGATGGTGATTAACAGAAATGATAACCAAATTCAGCAGTCTGAAATTTATCAAGCATGCAATCAAGATGCATTGATCATTACTGATGATTGGAATAGGAAGGTTGGAAACAAAGAGGAAGGTTCAGTAGTTGGAAAATTATGGCCTTGGTGATAGAAACGATGCTGGAGATCACATGATAAAAATCTGAAAGACGTTTATTGCAAGTACGTTTTTTCAACAACATAAAAGGCATATGTAGATCTCACCAGATAAAACACACAGAAATCAAACTGATTATAGATGTGGAAAGAGACGATGGAGACGCTCAACATCATCAGTCAAAACAAAGCCAGGGGCAGGCTGTGGAACAAAGTATCAATTGCTTATATGCAAGTTCAGGCTAAAGTGAAAGAAAATTTAAACACGTCCACAAGAGTCAAAATATGACTTTGAATACATCCCAACTGAATTTAGAGACCATATCAAGAACAGATTTGATTCCCTTCTGGACAAACGTCCTCCCAAGACTGAAATTCAAAGGGAACACATGAGCAGGCATGTAAGCTTGCTGGCGACCATGTTGGTCTATTGGTGAGTGGAACTGGGGGAAAATCAGCAATGAAGAGGTGAGCTGAGTCTGACTATGTTAGATAGACCCCCATCGACCTGGAGTATGGTGAGACCTAGCTGGCCCGAAGTATGGTGAGATCTGGGGACTCCAAAGCCCACGGACAAGGACATGGCCATGGAGGGCTAGAGCTGAGAGTGAGCCGTCCAGCTGATATGAACTGAGGGGAGATGCACAAGGGTACCCCAAATTTCAGATAGTGCCCATTAGCTTCAATGGCTGGATGATCAGAACCCTACTAGAGGAAGATAAAGAAAACAAGCGCAAATTGCTGTAATCTGATGAATTTGACCTATCCTTATGGATGTAGTAGCTTAAAATATCCACCCAGAGGAAAAGACTAGGTACAGCAACAATCATTCCTATCCCCTCTGTATACAGGGTTGATAGGGATGGGCAACTTAGACATTGGCTACCCAAAATGGGGGTGGGGTGGGGTGTAAAGGCTTACAAGTTTTCAAGAGGGAGTTTAGATTTAGAGTGTTCAGGGGAAGGTGGAATCCCCACTGAGTGGTTTTCATCCTTTCTAGATGGGTCTGGTGAAAGGAGTTGGGGATAAAACTCTTATGATTCAATAGTGAGTCATTGTTATCATGGCTAATTGATTGTTGCAACTGTAAAGGTAGAAGTTTTATAGCAAAAAGGGGTGAGTTGGTCTTACAGTCCTCGAGTGGAGGACCCTGGGACCATCAAAGGAGAAGAGCGGAAGCAGAGTGTGGGACCCTACCCAGAGAAGCAGCGACACCAGAGATGGAGGCAGAGATGATGACGTGGAGAGACAGAGCAGCTGAGGACTTTAGACTTATGGAGGGAGAGGGGCTGTGTGCTGGTGGCCAGGGGGCAGGTTTGCAGGGTGTGTGTGCCCTTTGGTTGTTTGAGTGATTGTATATTTCTGAGTGTTTTGGTGCACATCTAAAAACAAAACAAAACAATCCAGAAGGGAATAGAAGCAAATACTGTTGCACGGACGGGATTGTAATCATTGCAGTGAAACAAAATACGTCAGGAAGTGTAAAACTGATGTTTCCCCATATAAACTATCCCTCAATTCACAATAAAAACTTAAATAATAAAAGAAGAAGAGATTTGATGCACTAGACACTAACGACCAAACACCAGAAGATTTGTGGGATGTCATCAAGAACATCATACAGGAAGAAAGCAAAAGGTCATTAAGAAGACAGGGAAACGCATGGGTTTAGATTTATGGCAGGCTCTTCCCCATGGGCCTTTCATAGTGCCCCATGCCAGAGCAAACTGTAGCCCTGAACCATAGGCTGTGGCACTGAAGTGGCAAAAAGAAAAGACCAAAATGGATGTCAGAAGAGACTCTGAAACTTACTCTTGAGCACAGACAAGCTAAAGAGAATGGAAGAAATAAGGAAGTAGAACTGATCAGAAAGTGTCAAAAGTCAGAAGGTAAAGCATTGTTACGTAATGTGCAAAGACCTAGAGTTAGAAAATGAAAAGGGACAAACACTTTTAACAGTTTTCAAGCTGAATAGATCTGAAGGAAAATTTCAAACCTCTACTTAAAATACTGAAGGATTCTAATGGGCAAAATGTGGAATGATGCAGAAAGCATCAAAAGAAGCTAGGAGGAATACAGAGTCTCTGCACCAATTAGAATCGATGGATGCTCAACCATTTCAAGAGGTAGCATGTGATCAAGAACCGATGGTAGTGAAGAAAGAAGTCCAAGCTGCACTGAATGCATTGGTGAAAGATCAGGCTCCCAGAATTTACAGAATACAAATTAAAATGTCTCAACATCCCATGATGCAGCATTGGAGGCACTCACTCATCTATGTCAAGAAATTTGGAAGACAGCTACCTGGCCAACCGATTGGAAGAGATCTATAGTTGTACCCATTCCAGAGAAAGGTGACCCAGTAGAATGTGAAAATCATTGAACAGTATCATTGCTATCACATGCAAGTAAAATTTTGTGGAAGTTAATTCAAAAACAGTTGCAGTAGCTCGTTGACAGGGAGCTGTCAGAAACTCAAGCCAGATTCAGAAGAGGATGTGGACTAAGGGATATCATTGCCGCTGATGTCAGATGGATCTTGGCTAAAAGCAGAGACTATCAGGAAGATGCTTTATTGACTATGCAGAGGTATTTGGCTGTGCCAATCATAACAAACTATGGATAACATTGCAAAGAATGGCTATCTCAGAACACTTAATTGTGCTCATGAGGAATCTGTACATAGACCAAAAGGCAGTTGTTAAAACAGAACAAGGAAGCACTGAATGGTTTGAAATCAGGAAAGGTGTGTATCAGGATTGTATCCTTTCACCAGATTTATTCAATCTGTATGCTGAGCAAATAATTCAAGAAGCTGGATTATATGAAGAAGAACGTGGCATCAGGATTGGAAGAAGACTCATTAACAACGTGTGATAGGCAGATGATACAACCTTGCTTGCTGGAAGCCAAGAAGACTTAAGAATACTTACTGATGAAGATCCAAGAACGAAGTCTTCAGTATGGGTTGAACTTCCATGTCAACAAACAAAAATCCTCACAACCAATACATAACATTTAATAAATGGAGAAAAAATTGGAGTCGTCAGACTTCATTTTGCTTGGATCCACAATGAACACACATGAAGCCGCCGTCAAGAAACCAAACCACATAGTGCGTTAGACAGATATGCTGCAAAAGACCTCTATAACTGTTCAAAGGTAATGATGTCAGCTTGAGGACTAAGGTGCACCTGACCCAAGCCATGGTATTTTCAATCACCGCACATGCATGGGGAAGTTGGACAGTGAATAATTAAGATGGTAGAATCATCAATGCATTTGAATTATGGTGTTCAAGGAGAATATTGAAAGTACCAAATCTGTCTCGGAAAAAGTCCAGCCAGGATGCTCCTTAGGAGCCAGGATGCTGAGACTTTGTCTTTCATGCTTTGGACAAGTTATCAGGAGGGATCAGTCCCTGGAGAAGGACATCATGTTTGGTAAAGCGGAGGGTCAACCAAAAAGACAAAGACTCCTAACAAGATGGATTGAAGCAACAGCGAGCTCAGACATCACACAAACTGTGAGGATGGTGCAGGACTGGACGGTGTTCCATCTGTTGTCCATGTGATTCACGGTCCCTAGCAACAACAACAACAACAACAACAACAAGGGCTTTTAGAACGCTGCGGAGAGAGAGCGAAGATGTAGCCAGAAGTTGGCTCTTGGCTCATGGCTCAGTAATTACCACATTAGGATCCCTGCTTGGCACAAATGGTTAAACACTTGAATAACGTCCGATATGTTGGTGGTTCAAACCACGGGTGAGCCAGACTGCTGGAAGATGGCCCCTGGCGATTAGCCTTGGAAACCCTTTGTTCCTGTTGTAGCTAAGTGTCCTCAAGTTGCTTCCTGACTTACAACCACCCCGTATGGAGTTCCCAAGGAGTGGCTGGTGGATTTAAACCATGGACCTTGCGGGGAGCAGTCCAGTGCATATCTCCTTGGTTGTCATCAGTTGAAACTATCAGCAGCTAATAATAACAGCTACTAAGTTACAATCATGGCTGTTGCCATTAGAGGTAGGAGATGGGAAATAGGACCCTGGTCTGCAAATGCTTAGGCTGAAGCTAGGGAGACCGGGCTGATGGGGTGAGGGCCTATTGAATCAGGCTTGGGTCCCAGAGGAGCTTTCAGCCTGGTCACTGCCCTCCCTACCCCCATTGGGGTCTCTTCTCTCTTTTCCCCAGGGGACTCTCTATGCAGGCACATGTGTCGGGCTGTGGGCCAGAGCTTCATTGTGAGTCGTGGGGACAGCTTTGTGGACGGGACCCGCTGTGTGCCAAGTGTCCCTCAGGAAGATGGGACCCTCAGCTTGTGCATCTCTGGCAGCTGCAGGGTAGGTGGGTGGGTGGGTCTCTGTCCTGTTGGGGTACCTCCAGTGGGCAGGTTCCTGGGTGTTCCCCACCAAGGACTGCAGGGTCTGTCCGGGAGTGGTGCTGGGACAGTGGGCCAGCCCTGATGGAGAGCTTCGCTGTGGTCTCAGGTGGGTAGATGGCAGGTACTGTGGAAACATACCTACTTGTTAAGTCCCGGAGCTGAGCCGCCTCGGAGCTGAGGAAGAGGCTGGGGGTCTCCCTTTGGTGGCCTGGAGCCTCACTCCCTTCCCTGTGCACAGACCCTGGGCTGTGATGGCAGGATGGACTCCCGGCAGGTACGTGACATGTGCCAGGTGTGTGGAGGAGATAACAGCACCTGCAGTCGGCAGAGCGGCTCTTTCTCGGCTGGAAGAGCCAGAGGTAGGGGCTCCCTTTGAACGCAAGGATTTGCAAGGCAGCAGTCACATGGGCTCCCTGTGATGCTGGAGGTTACACGTATCGTGCGGTTTCTGGAAGGTCAGAGTCTTCTCTCTGGACAGACCGTAATGAGAGGGTCGCTGTGAGCGAGGGTTTTGTCTCCTCATAGAAGAGGCAAAGCATCAGCCAAGTTAGTCACTTAGATGATGAAGGGAGGACTTGAGGCTCATTCTCTTTGGTATGATACTCTCTGTGGATGAGAACTTAGACTTGGCTCAGCAGTGGTTGTTCAACCTGGCTTGATTACCTCTGGTGACGATGGACTCACCACTCGGAGGCAGCCCTGTGCTTTGCTGGCTTTTGGTGTTTAAAGGCCCCTTTTCCTGTGCAGCTGAATGATATCCACTCCCTTGCGCCTGTGATGTGACCAGTACATCCCTTGCACCCTATTTCCTTCCAGAATATGTGACCTTCCTCACCATCACCCCCAACATGACCAGTATCCACGTTGTCAACCACAGGCCGCTCTTCACACACTTGGGTGAGTTGACAGAGGACACCTAACCAGTCCTTTCCAGAGGTCGTCTGTACATGACCTTTGAGTCTGTGGTGTGGTTACTCACCTCGATATCCTTGGTCCCTGAACCACCTGTAAAGTCCTCTGTGTGTGCCTACTTGGTGAGGGGAAGCAGGCCCACAGCGTTCCTCAGGTTCCGGATTGTGTCTGGGGGGTACAGCCCATCGGACCGAAATGCCAATGGGTCCTCTTCCAGGGAGGGCAGGTCTGGGGAGGGGAGCCAAGGCGTGGTTTTGGAAGTCTGTCTGGACTGGTCCTGCTGCCTTCTTCACCCAGGACCTTGTTTGCAGAGGGACCCGCCCCGAGGGTGGAGAGTTTAAATCACTCCATTCTGCAGAGGAGGTCTTGCTGGGCCCACCCTGAGGATGGAGAGTTAAACCACTCCATTTATAAGGAGGTTGGGCCGGTCCTCAGACCCTCAATCCCCTGGCAGCGGTCAGGATCAGAGGGCAGTACGTCGTGGCTGGCAACACAAGTGTCTCTCCCAGTACCACCTACCCCTCCATCCTGGAAGACAGCCACCTCAAGTACACAGTGCTGCTCAGTGAGGACCAGCTGCCCCGCCGGGAGGAGCTCCGTATCCAGGGACCTGCCCAGGAAGACATTGAGATCCAGGTGAGCATCCCCCAGCGCCGCTCGGCTGCTGCCTCAGTTGTTTCTCATTCATCCCTGGGCGATATAAACGGCCAATACGCTGGGTTGTTGTTGTTGTTGTTAAGTGCCGTTGAGTCGGTTCCGACCCATAGCGACCCTGTACAGGGTTTCTGAGGGTGTAAATCTTTACGGGAGTAGAAAGCCTCATCTTTCTCCCGCGCAGCAGCTGGTAGTTTCGAACCGCTGACCTTAAGGTTCGCAGCCCGATTTGTAACCACTACGCTACCAAAGCTCCTAAATACGCTGGGTAGCTAACTAAAATGTTGGCAGTTTGAAGCCATCCAGAGACAACTTGCAGAAAGACAAGCAGGCCAGGTCCTCCATGGTCCAGTCCTTTCCTGCTGACCCCTCGGGCCTCATCTCGCCTGCTGACCCTGTGATGGAGCTACCCCTCCACCCTCTGTTTGTTACCTCCCGAAATCTCTCCTGATTTACACTGTCACTGCCACGCCCGTCAAGTCAGGGAGCCTCTTCTGTGCTCCCACCCTGCCCTGTGTATACACCTAGTCCTGCGCCAACCGGCTACTTTATGCTTCACCCAGAGAATTTGGCCATTGTTCTTGGCTCCTGGGAGGGAGCTTCTGGGACTTTTCCAGTCTGCCTGGAAGGTCTGTTACCCACCAGGCCCCAGGCCACATCGGAGTGTTTATGCTAATGAGGAAATTCAGGCTGGATGGGACTGGCCAGGCCAGAAAAGTACCTCCATGGGATGTCCGCTGGCTCTCTGGGGAGGAAAAGGGGCTGGAGGCCAAGTTAAACCAGGTGGTAGTGGGCATCGACTCCCCGCATCATGCCTAAGCAGTGAAACCCCAGTCACGGCTCTGGGCACGGGAGCTTCCTGAGCTTCCTGGCTGGGGATGGACAGGCCGATGTGTCTCCTCGCGGGACCCTCCTGGGTCTCGTTGGGACCTTAGAATCAGTAGTTTCCCAGGTTCTGTGAATTGTTCTAGCCAATGATCAAACCTGAAGGAGTAGTGAGAGCCCCCAGACTTGTAGCCAGCAGGTCAGAAGTGAGGGGGTTGGGCAGTCTGAGGGCAGACTGGGCAGTCTGCAGGGCTGTGTCCTTTCACTTGTGAGAGCTGACCTCACTTTGGGTGATCAGGGTCAGTGGAAGAACAACCACATTTGCAGCAGGTGTTGAAAAGACAGACACCTGACCCCCAACCGACTCTGGGCTCCTTGAGGCTGGTACCGTGTCCTGAATGCTGAGCTATACAGAGTCTGCCATGGGGTCCCTGTTGCTAATTGCTTGATGAGTGAAATGACATGAGGACTGAGGGGTGAGGAGTTGGAAGGCTTCCTGGAGGAGGTGGCTGTGAGCAGTGACCCTCAGGGCCCACTGGGCACAGGCCTGACCTCTGCTGTCCAACTTGGTGCAGGTTTACAGGCGCTATGGTGATGAATATGGCAGCCCTGCCCGCCCAGACATCACCTTCAGTTATTTCCAGCCTCTGGTGGGGACGTGGACCGCCGTGCGGGGGGCCTGTTCGGTGAGCTGTGGGGCAGGTGAGGCACAGGTAAGGGCTGACCCACAGCACTGGTGCCCCCTGCCTGGACGTGGCCTAGTCCTCCTCTCTCCTCCCAGGGCAACACTTGGTGACCTACAGCTGTCTAAACCAGAGCCAGGGGATGGAGGCTGCCGGGTGCAGAGGGAGACCGAAGCCACCAGCGAGGCTGGAGTCCTGCATCCTAGCACCTTGTCCACCGTGGTGAGCTCAGGGTGTGGCTCCGGTCTCTCAGGGGTGGGGGTGGAGTGGGGTCAGCCTTGGCACCGTGACTCAGAGCTCCAGGCGTTGTATGACAGTTTCTGTGTGTATCCCATCTCATCCTGAAACTGCTGTGTGAGGTGGGCTCTGTCCATAGGCCCCTTTTACAATGAGGACACTGAGGCTCAAGGCAGACACAGTGTCAGCTGGTGGCTCTAGCCCACCGCCAAGCTGTCTGAGGGCACTCTGTCTTCTGAGCTGAGCTTCTCGGTATAGGTGGTGCCACCTTGGAGGGAGGTTGTGTGGCCTCAGAGGGAAGGGCGGGTGACCTGGCCACTGTCAACTGGACAGGACACAAGAACAGGGCCAGGTTCTCTCTGCTGGGACATGGTGGGGCAGTCTCCAGCTGCACTTGTATATGGGGGTAGGATCGGGGATCCGGGGGGGTTCTGCAAGGTCAACTCCCAGGGGTTGTCTGGGGGACACAGAGAGCTGATGGACTGGGAAGACGGTCATCCTATTGTCTGGACAATGCACCTGCCCCTACTGTCTCCCCCAAGCTGCCCTGGGGACCTGGGCTGACCTGGTGCTGGGCACTGGGACACTTCCTCCCACTTAGTACCCCTGTGGGGCAGCCTGGGGAGCAGGCAGTGCGTAGTGTGGGGTACGGGTGGTCCCCTAAGGATGCTGCCTGCACTCTGGTGCCGATCGGTGACCCCATGACTGCTCCCTTTCCCCAAGGCCTCAGCAAGACACCTTTGCCCCTAGGATGGTGGCATTTCTGTCATTCCCTCCAGGATCCCTGCTCTGATGGGGGTTGGGAGCACAGTGTGGAGGTGACTTTGCCATTTTCACGGGCCCATGCTGCCTCTCTGTTCCTCAGTGTCAAAACTGACCGTGGCCTATCATTCTAATCTGATGCTAACTGGGGGGGTGACCGGGCAAGACCTCTTTCCCTCTGGACTTTGGTTGTTTCATCTGCCCTGTGGGGAGGGGGTGAGTTTTGAACACTGGGGCCCAAATGACTCTGGATTCTTTTCCCACTTGCATCCATAACAGGTATAACACTCCCCACTCTTCCCCACTGAGGTGAAATCAGGATTCAGAATCCTCAATGCAGGCCCATAATTACTCAACACAGCCCAGAACCCGCCTCAACACTGTCCAGAATCCTCCTCAACACAGTCCCATAATATTCAACACAGCCTAGAACCCTCAACACAGCCTCAGAGTCTTCAGCACAATATCCAGGCATCCCCGCCTTAGGCTGGTTTCCATCCATCACTGTGAATTTGGTGACTTCATCTGACACACGTTTCTTGAGTACCTGCACTATGCATGTGCAGTAATCTTGTGTTCTGGGTGGTGGTCTGCCTTTGCCTTTGGAGGACAGGAAGGGGCTGTCTCCCTATATGGGGCACCCTACAGAGGCTGACTCAGCTACCCCCCAACTCTGAGGTGACAGCCCATGTGGGGGTCCTTTATGGGCTCCTGAATGGTGGAGCTGCCCCTTCAGCCCATGGTGGTGGCCGGTCTGCTGACCCCTATGCTATGAACAGGAGGGAGGCGTTGGCCCCTGACCCTGCTGTGGAGAACGGGACTCGTGCTCTCGGCGGAGAAGACCAGGAGGCTCCAGTGGCTGCTCTTTCTGGGCACGTGTGGATTCTTGTGGGTGGACCCTGCTCCGTCTCTTGTGGCCGAGGTGAGGGGCTTCCAGGATCACTTAGTGACAGTGAATTCTGTTGTCTGCTTGCCTAGTTCCAGAAAGCATTTGAGGGGCTTACAGTCCATTCATAGGTTCCTGGGGGTGCAAATGGTCCAGCACTCGGCTATTAGCTGAATGGTTGGTAATTTGAACCCCCTCTGAGGCACCTCCAAAGCAGGCCTATTGATCTGCTTTGAAATGTCTGTGGATCAGTTCTACCTTGCACACATGGGGTCACCGTAAATTGGGATCAAGTTGACAGCTGCTACCAACAAGAGATTTATTTGGAGAATTCTAAAGGAGACAGAGGAGGGAAGTAGCACTAATGACATATTCATGCGAAACACACTCAGATTTTCATCTCACAAGTCCTGTTATTTTATTATTTTTTAAAAAAGCTTTTATTGTGAATTGAGTGAAGGTTTACAGGGCAGATCATCAGTTTTACATTCAGTCCCCTCCGTGTACCATCAGCTAACAGTATTTACCTCTATTTCCTTTTATCTTGTTTTGAAGTACACATACCTCACTGAAAATACATATTCGTTTAAATGTCCAAAGGGCACATTTTGCAAGCCAGCCTCCTGCCTGTAGGCACACAGCCTTTCTCAGTCCATGGGCCTAGAGTCCTCTGCTGCTCTGTCTCTCTGAGCCATAGCCTCTGCCACCATCTCTATTGTGGCTGTTTTTCTGGTTAGGATCTCACACTCCACTCATACTCTTCTCTCTTGCTGGTCCTAGGGTCCCCTTTTCCTAAAATGACATATTAACTGCTCCCTCCTTTTGGTTACACCTCTTCTACATTTACAGTTGTGACAATCACCATTAGTCCTGATAACAGTTACTCACAAATGAATCATAAAATCCTACCCCCACATCACCAGACCCATCTGGACAACAGGAAAACTATTCAGTGGGGATTCTATTTTAGCCCTCTCGTTCTGACCCTAACCACCTTCATGAAAGCTTGTAAGCCAGTCACTTCATGCCTTTATAGTCCTTCAGTTTTGATAGCCGGAGTCTAAGTTGCCCGCCCCTATCAACCCAGTGTACTGAGGAGACAAGCTTGATCCTTGATGCGAAGAATCCTTCCCTGGAATTTTGGGCAACTTCATCCATAAGCAAAGGTCCAGTTCATCAAGTTGTAGCAATTTACGCTTGCTTCTTGTATCAAACATCTTTATCTTCATCTGATCGAGTTCTGGTCAGCAAGCCATCCAAGCTAGGTCAGATGGGTACGATCTGCAAGTTTGGGAGTTCTAGCAAGCCTTCCTCTACTTCAGACCAGCTGACCACTTCACTTTTTTTTTTTAACCTTTTGTGAGTTGAGTGAAGGTTTACGGAGCCAATCATCAGTTTTACATTCAACAAGCAGTATACTTTGCTTCACTACATAGTTGTAATCCCCTCCATGTACCACCAGTTAACAACATTGATCTCAATTCACTTTAACCACTTCATTCCTCCCTGTTTCTCCCGCCACCCCCACCTTCCTCTGCCACCCTTCCTCTGGTTGTATATTGCTTGCCCCGACACACATGCCAACACGTGTCTATCCTCTGGCCACTTCACCCTTAACTCTAGTCCCAAGTGGCTAGCTAGGTCAGTGTCCTTGGGCTCAGGAGTTCACATGCTTCCCTGAACCTCAAACCAGCCAACCCTTCCTCTTCTCTCTCATCTCAAGACCATCGGGAGTCTATGGAATATGGGCAGACTCAGCCCTGTCTTCACTGCTCCATTTCCCCCATGTCCACTCACACGTTGACCAGGGCGGTCACCAGTGAGCCTACAGGATTGTTCGTGAGTTCCCTTTGGGTTTCAGTCTTGGATGGGGCTTTACCCTGATGAGTTGATTCTTCTTGCCTTGATGGCTCTAAGGCAAACAGCTTGAGAATGTCACAGCCAAACGGTCTCCTTTACCACCCCACCCCCACCCCATGCTGGTCTTTCTTTCAAGAAGTATCTTTGGTTCCTTTAGCCATTCTGGGTGGGTCTGCATGTCTTTTCAAGTGGGAAGGTTCTGGGTGGGGCTCAGGATTCCACCCATACTCCACACAGGTTTAAGAAGTCTATTTCCCTGGGCAAATTCTAGTACGCTTTTAAGTCATCCAACCAGTTATAGGCTGAAGACAGGCTTACAAGCTTTCTATCCCTCTTAAATGTCTATATTACAGTAGTAGGCAGGAGAAACCAATATCCACAAAGCAGTCAGGCATCTTAATGTTATTTCCCCTCCTTTACCCATTCAGACTAGGTCTTGATCCCTGTATCATAGATACATTGTTGTTAATCTATCTCTGTCCCATTTAGCCAGTGCATACCTCCCTAAATCTTCCCGTATCATCCCTGTTCATCCACCCCTCCCCCTTCCTGTGCATTGTTCTCCCCCTCCTTCGTATGGCCCTCCCCAGCACCTGAGTTTTCATGTGCCTCTTCCCTAACCTCATCTCAAATTCTTAGGGTGCCTTTCCACTGACAACGCTGCTGTTAGATGCCACTGAGTCAGCCCCCCACTCTCAGTGACTCTAAGTCCAACAGAACAGAGCATGGCCTGGTCATCGTCACAATCTGGCCCGTTGCCACAGCCCCTGTGCTAGTTCATGGCATGGAGAGTTTCCTTTTCATCGACCCTCTACTTTACCCAGCACGATGTCCATTTGTCCAGCACCTTCAGGTCCCCTCTTAAATCTTCAGCAATGGCCCCTACAAGGTAGGCCTCATTATATGGAGAATCTGAGGTCAGGGAGGTTAAGTTGCCTGCTTAGCTTCACACACGGGTGAGTAGCAGGGACTGGACCGCTGAAACTCTCGGGTGGTGGTCAGCCCCCTTCTTTGACGTGGGGGTCCTACTTTTCCCCCCAGGCCTGAGGAAGTTGCACTCCGTGTGCTCTGATGCTGCCCAGGGCACAGTGGTGGCAGAAGAGCTGTGTGCTCTGGAGAGCAGGCCCAGGAGCCAATGGGAGGCCTGCCTGGCATCCCTGTGTCCGGCACGGTGAGTGGGGGAGAGGGGGCCACTGGAGGCTATATATGGCCTTAGGTGACCCCTCATAACACTGGTCATTCTGCAGATGGGAGACCCGTGCCTTGGCGCCATGTCCGGTGACTTGTGGAGGGGGCCAGGTGCCACTGGCTGTGCGTTGTGTGAGGCCGGACCAGGGCCACACCATCCCCCTGCCCCATGCCAAGTGCTGGCGGCTGCCCCGGCCCAGCCCCCATGAGGACTGCAGCCCAGAGCCCTGCCCCGCCAGGTGCTCTCTTTCTGACCACTTCCCTTCTCTGAGCCTCAGTTTTACCTTTTGGTATCTGGGAAATGGGTTTGATAAGACCTCCCCCATAGGACTTGGCATTCAGCCCAGGGCCTGGCTCTGGGCGGGCAAATGAGGATCAGGCGTGGTCTGGTGCCCTGAGTCTCCTCTTCCTATAGGTGGAGAGTCCTGCTCCCAGGCCCATGCTCCACCACCTGCGGCCTTGGCATCGCTCTGCGCTCGGTGGCCTGTGTACAACTGGACCAGGGCCACGAGATAGAGCTGGAGGAGGTGGCTTGTGCAGGCCTGGAGCGGCCACAGGCCTCGGTCCCCTGCCTGCTCACCAACTGCACCTACCGGTGGACTGTCAACACTTGGACAGAGGTGACTATCAGCTGGGCTCACAGTCTCGTTGGGCGGCTGGGGGTACATCTGGTGTATGCCTTCTTAGTGGGGGTGCCTCAGGCATTGAGTCATAGAATTCCTAAGGATGGAGAGAATCCCCTCCCCCAATCCCTGGCACATCGCCTGTGGGGCAGTATACCCCCTTCCTCTTTTGACCCCGAATCTTCAGGTGAGGGGGCTAGGCAAACTCCATGTTTAATGGCTCCGGGGATGTTCTGTGGCACAGTTGGGGTTCCACCCAGTGGTGATGTGCTGGGTCTACTGAGGGGGCAGTTGGGCACTAGGAGACAGAAGAGAGGCCCTGAGAAGCAGACACCTCAATCTATGACAGATGAGAGAAGTCCATCAGGGGTCAGCCCCTCGGCACCAGGAAGACAGAGACACAGATGCTTGTTCGCAATGTCGGGGTGAAGAGGCAGCGTCCAAGAGGGGGCCCTCCTGCCTCTTTAGAGCCACTGGGGCAGGAAGGAGAGGGTGGGGCGTGGGGTGAACACAAGACCAGAGCCTGCCACAAGGATGGGGGGTGTCAGGCTGCAGGGATAGATGGGGTGTCAGTCCAGGCAGCAGGGATGGGTGAGGGGGAGGTCAGTCCAAGCAACAGGGACGGGTGAGTGGGGTCAGGTCAGGTGGTAAGAGTGAGTGAGGGAGGTCAGGTCAGGGGCGGGTGAGACGGGTCAGGTCAGGAGGCAGGGGTAGGTGAGGGGGATCTGGTTGGGGGTGGGTGAGGAGGAGCATCAGGTCAGGAGGCAGGGGTAGTGAGGGCGGTCAGGCCAGGGGTGGGTGAGGGGGTTCAGGTCAGGCAGTAGGAGTGAAGGGGGTCAGGTCAGGAGGTAGGGGTGGTGAGGGGGTCACTGCCTGGGATTGGAGGCTGAGAGACCCCAAGCATGGCTGTTGGGAGATGGAGCTTGAGCCCTTCCTCTCTCTATGTAATGACTTCTCCTCACTTGTGACTTGAGATACCTGCCCATCTCCAGGGTTGTGTCAACAATATACCCGCACAGTAGCCATTGTCCTGGTCACCTGCGAGGACGGGCCACTACCCCACTATCCCTCCTCTCTCCCACCAGTGCTCTGTCTCCTGTGGAAATGGCATCCAGAGCCGGCAGGATGTCTGCTTGGGACCCCAGGCTGGGACCCCCGTTCCAGCCAACTTCTGCCAGCACCTGCCCAAGCCAGCAACAGTGCGGGGCTGCTGGGCAGGGTTCTGTGGAGGGCAGGGGACATCCAGCCTGGTGCCCTTTAAGGAGGTGGTTTCAGCAGACCAGACCACAGCTGTCCCAGAGTGGCCACCGGCCCAGTCCCGCCTCCCCTCTCCAGTTTCCTGGCCTCAGAGACTCTTGCCCAGGCCGGCCGAGTCCAGTTATGTTCCTTGTATTCCTCCCTCTTTTCTGTGGGCCCAGGCTGTGGGAGGGGTGGGCAAAGGTCGCTTTCCTGGGAAAATGGGGGGAGCTCTTGGGGGGCGTGTCCCTGGGGCTTCTCTGTGACCAAAGCAAGTGGGGGAAGGGACGATGCTGTCCTCCCTTGTGTAATTATCACGGGACAGGAATCTGCCCATGGCCTGATGCCTGGGCACTGCTGTGGCTGGGAGGTAACTCTGACCCTCTGTGGGTGTCATGCATTGGCCCCCCAAACTCTGCTCACTGTGGCTGCCCTCCTGCTTCAGGTGCCTGTGGGCAGCAATTCCTCCAGCCAGAAGGAACCATTGACCTCCGAGGCCTGTCGCAGGCAGACTGCATGGTGGCCATCGGGCGGCCCCTGGGGGAGATGATCACTTTCCACGTGCTGGAGAGTTCCTTGAACTGCAGTGCTGGTATGTCCAGGGCCCCATGGACAGTCTCACCATGGCCATCTCATGGCTGGGGAGTGATGACCCCATTTTACAGATGAGGACACTGAGGCCGGGAGGGACTAAGTGTGGTGCCCAGTGAGCTCGTCTCAGTCTACCTGCATCGCTGCTTGCTAGGGGACCTGATGCTGCTATGGAGCAGGCTTATGTGGAGGGGCATGTGCAGGGGGCTGATGGGCACCACCTTCAGCTCCAGGACCAACACACTGGTGATGAGGCAGCGTCGGGTGCAGCCAACTAACGGGGTGCTGGTGCACTACAGGGCCAAGCCTGCCCTGCACCCATCCCACCGAGGTATGACTAGTCCCCGGGGAAGGCTGCTGCCATGGGGGCCCAGCCCTGAGGGGCCATGAGCAAGAGGGACGAGTGACACAGAGGAGGGACAGGTGACACAGAGGAGGGATGGGGTTAGGATGATCCCCGCAGGGCACATGCTGTGCCCCTCCCTCTTGGGGTAGAGCAGCTAGAGGGGTGACCGGGATCTGTTACATCCTCACCAAACCCCTCAGAAGTTGGCCTTGGAGGATGGCTCCGCAGAACTGAGGGTCAGGCTGGGCAGCATCTGGCTCGGTCAGCTGTCCCAGCTCCTTTGCTTCTTCGAGGAGCGGTGTGTGTGTGTGTGTGTGTGTGTGTGTGCCTGCGTGCCCCCCCCATGCACACCTGCACTTCCGGCCCTGCTATGATAGTTCTCTGCTTGGCCCGGAACCTGCCCTTTCCCAGCAGCCCAGCTGGCTGTAGTGGGCTTACTGGGGGTGGGGGAGCAGCTTCTGTGTCTCCCAGGCCTCAGGGGACACCTCTGAGGACACCAGCCAACACCGTCCCTCGTTGGCAAATGTGCTGGGGTCCAGGACGCAGGCTGAGTCATTTGGGGATGCTTCTGTTACTAATCTCATTGCCTTCATTCCCACCTTTTGGGAAGCCCAAGAGGCAAGGTACCTTATGAAACTGCAGTGGGGCATTCCCCCTTTGTTCCCCCTTTGCACAATGACTTCATCGAATCCTCTGAAGAGCTACCCCCCCCTCCCCCAGCACGCTGCCTTCCCTTTACAGAGGACCAGGCTGATCGAACCGTACCTGGGGCCAGCAGTTTAGCAGGGGCTCAGTGGGTCCCACCTCCCACTGCCATCCCCCTGACTGTGAGCTGCCGTTGCCTCCGACACCATGGTCAGTCCATCCTAGGTCCCTGAGGTGACCCACACCCAGTGAAACCAACCACCTGCCGTCCCCGCAGAATGTGACATGCAGCTCTTTGGACCCCGGGGTGAAATCTCGAGCTCCATGCTGAATCCAGATGGGAGGAGTACAGGGGGCTGCCGGGTCTTCATCAACGTGTCTCCACAAGCTCGGGTAGCCATTCAGGCCCTGGTCACCGACGTGGGCACAGGGACCAAGGGGTCTAAGGCCAGCGACATCTCGGTGAGGCCACCAGGGCAGGGATGGCAGTGGGGTAACTTTGTTATGATTCTGAGACCACTGACCCTGGGGACTGGAATGGGGTATGCTGGCTAGAGGATACCTTAAGTTTAATTTCAGACCAAAGACGTCATTAACAAAAGCATGGTAGACAGGAATTTCCTCCACCCTTCACCCAACAAACATTTACTGAACACCCTAAATAAGCCATGGGGCCCCAGGGTACCACTGGATACGCGCTGGACTGCTAACCTCAAGGTTGGTGGTGCAAACCCTGTACAGGGTCGCTATGAGTCAGAACTAATTCAACAGCACTTAACAACAATCACAACTAAGCAGCCATTGATTGGGCATCTTTAACTCGGGGTGACCCCACGTGTCAGAATAGAACTGTGTCCCCAATAGGGTTTTCAGTGCTTGGGGAAGAAGACCCCCAGGACTTTTTTCTGAGCCCTCTCTGGGTAGATTCGAATCGTCAGGAGTGGACTGGGAAAGATCTGTTCTGTTGTAGGCAGCCCGTGAAGTCAGGATGGAAATATAATTTTAAACTCGGATGTAACTTGCCAGAGAGCGGGCCAACCCCTGAGCCCATGAGATTTTGTGCTTCCTGGGAGGACTGTCCCCTGTAAAGTGTCCACTTCCCTGGGCCCTGGGAAGATCCCAGCTCGACCCCCCACCCCCTGCATCTTTGGGAACTGGGCAATGTGACCCTGTGGAGGAGTCCTAAGGGCTTTGTAATGTAGCTGATGTCCTGCCCTTTGGGCCTGCTCTCCTTCCTCTCAGATCCGGGACATCCACAGCCTGAGGATCTCCACGTTCCGCGGGCAGCAGTTGCTCTACTGGGAGTCAAGGGGCAGCCAGGTAGAGGTGGAGTTCAGTGAGGGCTTTCTGGAGGCCCATGCCAGCCTGCGGGGCCAGTACTGGACCCTCTATAGGGTGCCAGAAGAGGGGGCCCCTGCTTTGCCCTAGCTTCCTCTCTGAGCTGTGCAGCATCACAGCGGACCCCAGCACAGGGAGGAGGGACCAGCAGGTGAAGGAAGGACCCTGAACTTACAGAATGCCTGTGGTCCCCAGCCAGCCTGAGGGGGTGGGGCTGCTCTCCGAGGACTTAGATTTCTAACTCCCTCTAACTCAGGCATCGCCTTGTGTGTGTGTGGGGTCTCCTTAAAACTTTTTTTTTAAACCTAGGGGTGAAATGCAGTCCCCATCCCCTCTGATACCAATAAAAACGTTGTGAGGAACCTCAGCCATGGTGGTGGCTTTCTCTTCTCTTAACCTGTCCAATCAAGCTGAGGAAATTGAAGAAAAAAATTCAAGCCTCGACTTTAGTTATTGAAGGGTTCTCTATGCGAATTACTGAATGATGCAGAAAGCATCAAAAGAAGATGGAAGGAATATACAGAGTCATTGTACAAAAAGGAAATGGTCAATGTTCAACCATTTCAAGATGTAGCTGATGATCAAGAGCCAATGATCCTGAAGGAAGAAGTCCAAGGTGCATTGAAGGAACTGGCAAAGAACATCGGGAATTGATGGAATACAAATTGAAATCTTTCAATAAAGTGAGGTGGCACAGGAGGCACTCACTCATCTATGCCAAGAAATTTGCAAGACAGCTACCTGGCCAACTGATTGGAAGAGATCAGTATTTGTGCCCATCCCAAAGAGAGGTGACCCAACAGAATGTGGAAATCATTGGACAATGTCTTTGCTATCCTATGCGAGTAAACTTTACTAAATGTAAGACTGCAACCATAGATTGACAGAGAACTTCCAGAGGTTCGAGACGCTTTCAGAAGAGGCGGTGGAACGAGGGATATCATTGCTGACATCAGATGGATCTTGGCTGAAAGCAGAGTAAATAAGAAAGATGTTTACCTGTGCTTTATTGACTACTCAGAGGCTTTTGATTGTGTGGATCATGACAAGCTATGCATGATGTTCTGGAATACTCATACATTGCAAGGTATGAGTAGTCCAAAACACTTAATTGTGATTATGAGGAACCTTTACATAGAACAAGAGGCAGTTGTTCGAACAGAACCAGGGAACACCGAGTGGTTTAAAATTAGGAAAAGTGTGTGCCAGGGTAGTATTCTTTCACCATACTTATTCAACCTGTATGCTGAGCAAATAATCCAAGAAGCTGGGTTCTATGAAGAAAAATGTGGCATCAGGATTGAAGGAAGACTCATTAACAAACTGCAATATGCAGTTGATACAACCTTGCTTGCTGAAAGTGAAGAGGACTTAAAAT